GGTATATAAAAGCATCTTCCAGAAAGAGTGCAAGAGGCTGGATGGAAATCTCCAAGGCTTTCACAATTGATGACTTCTTTAACAGAATATCTGTTTCCATTACAACCTGAAGATGAAGAAAACTGGCAGATTTGAGAATAGCATGCTTTTCAACAGCACTCATTTGGTTATCGATGGGTGGCAAAGAAGCGGCCGGCATCACATGACCCTCTTGGCGGATAAGAACTACTGGGAAGTCATACTGAGCTTTATGGAAGAGCTGGTTGTCGATCTGTATATCACCAATACATAGTGCCGTACTCGTTTTAGAGATCGGCATCATTCGTGATTGGAAATTAGTAACCGGATAGTGAGCAAGGAAAACTGTTGACATAGATACGCTCAGTATTTCACCAAAGGTGTCAGAGGAAGACGTCTCATCAAGAATCACAAACCGAACTGATTTGAACATACAACCACAGTTGAAACAGAACATGTCTTTCAGTTTGTATGTCTCATGCATATTGACCTTCTGCAATGAAAAAACCGATGAAAAAGCAGAAGTCTTTTTAGCAATCTTCTTGCCATTGGCGCCGATCTTGTCTTTAACCAACACCTTCGTCTCTTTACCCTTAATCCGACTTCGGATTTCCTTTGCTGAAATATCTGCCCTGCTGACAGGTTCCAAGATCAAATAGGTTGTCATATTTACTCGTTCTACATGTACCTTGATGTCTGATGCATGGGGCATATGCACAAACGTATCATGCTGTGACAATATATCAATGCCACTGTTCCAGCTTGGATGGGAAGTGTCCTCTGGTATACAGGCACTGACATGAAGCTTGGGAAGCATCTGGCTGTTGGGTATCTCAGGGAAAATAGAGTTCAGGAAAGGCATAGTGTAGTGGACACAATGACCAGGTTCAATTGTAGGTAGGCAATCCAGTAACTCGGTTTCTTCAAGAACTGTTACATCTGAAATTGTTAAAAAAAGATAAAAGAAATAACTTCTTTGTATGTGTGTAAATAGTCAAAATCTGAAAGAAAGCTGCCAAGATTTATAATTTCAAGACTGGTTTGGATATTGGGTGTCATACTGCAGCCTCCTCAGGCATAAAGTAGTGATTTTCCAAGCGTAGCTTAGATGTGGCACAAGGCCGAAAGTAGGAGGCACCCAGTGAGGATCAAACTCACTACTCAGTCGTAACTGTTCTAGTGAGACAAGCTTGCTAACCGTTACACCAACTCAAGGTTCCTTCCTCAGGCATAAAGTAAATTATAAACCTATTTCTATTTGTATCCTTAAAAGAAAGCTGTAGAATGAATCTATATAGTATATGTAACAACAAAGTTTTGACAGAGTACACAATTTAGTCAACTGTTATGCAATGGTAATGTTTCTATAGTGAACTTTCTTTCTTATTACTATAAATATAGGTTTGATTCCTGTCAGAGGTACAATTCTTAATTTAGATAAATTGTTATTAATTTCACTGTTTAACAAAGTGAAAAGCAGTGATAGCAACGCAAACATGTGTAGCAACTAAAAATGATGTTTATAGTAAGAAGTAGTAAACCATGTAAAATATTCACTATGGATGCAGTTAAATTAAGACTATAAAATAATATAACAGTTTATTTGTACAATGGTATATAAAACAAGATTGCCAATAAATTATGCATAAAAAAAAATCTTCTAAAATTGTTTGTTTCAAGGAAATGTCAACCTCACTGACATTGAGCACTCTTGCCCATAAAAAAATATAATTCTCTCTCTCTCTCTATATATATATATATATATATATATATATATATATATATATATATATATATAAAACGTTTAATAAATTTATATATATATATATATATATATATATATATAATATCTTATGTCAAAAGTACGACTGAGTTTCATGTTCAATACAATCTTCAGTTACTCATAATGGTGGTAATTGTTCATTACAATCATTCATATTACTAACAATACTAGTGATTATAACACACAGTTCTTCACCATTATAAGTACCTGAAGATTGTATTGAACATGAAACATAAGGTAATATGTATATTTATTGATATATACTTTATAGCTCTGTATTACTACATTGAGCAGGGTTTTGTCAACAGCAAAAATGAAAATATTCATTTGCAAATTTATATATACATGGGATCATATCACATGCATGCATGGTTGTGTGTGTGTGCATATATATATATATATATATATAAAGGAAAAAATGAAATTATAAATAAAATCAATTATATATATATATATATATATATATATAAGAAAATCTATAACAAGGTGGTAAAATTTTTGTTTGATGTGTTTCATCTTTAGGACTTCATCAGACTACAGCAATGATACAACTACATATGCACATGAAGTAAAGAAGATGCTAAGAATTTTAAATTTAAACATTTTTTAATGGGTTTTGGGTATATAGTCTAGTCAATTACATTTAGTTTCCTCATTGTGATTAATTAAGCTCCGCCAAGAAAGATGAGATGTTGTAAAACTGGGGCATAAATTTACTGTAGATGATATTGCAATTAAAGCAATTTCTATTTTCATCTTAGTAAATTGTTTTGTCTTCTAATTAAAGTAGCATTTTTAAATCAAATTATAGCTACTTATTATGGTGGACAACTAATGCATTGAATGTGCTATTTTGTAAAAGATCCCTTTTGTGTTCTTATAATTTTTTATTTAAATTATTTGAGGTTTCTCCAATGTATTCCTTGTAGCAAAGCACATTACACAAAAACTTTTTCTCTCATAGATTTTCATAAAATTGTTCCTGATATATAAAAATTTATATATCACTTTCCACATCATTTTGATATGATTATGCTTCCCCCCCCCACTATATTTCATATCCAGTGGGTTTCACTCATGTCAGAGTCACACATCAAAACAACAATCAAAAACCAAGTGGTACATGAGAAATTACAACAGAGTGACGGATAAAATGATCCCAGTAATAATTATTGGAGAATATATTGAATATAATGACAATCCCCCAAAGAGGATTGTTGTACTTACCACTGATGGTCAGATTCATTAGAGTTTGGCCATATGAAATTGGAAATGGACAACAATTTGAAATCAAACAACCAGGAGACTTATCAGCGTCCAGCACAAAATAAGTCAGGCCATCTTGCACATGGCCACTAAGGACAAGTGGCTGTGTTGTTGCATATGCATTCAACTGGACAGGAACAGCAGTGGTTACACGAGTACCCACTTCATTGGCAATCAGTCTTAATGGAAATGACCAATGGCTTTCATCTAAGAATGAAAAATAAAATATTACATATTTATAATAGCTGTTTATGTAATAGGTAGAAAGAAGTAGATGCGATATGCAACAATAAACTGCAGAAGAACTCAAAATTGATCGCTGCATTTAAGTATTTCATTAATACTTAAGCTTACCTTTTAAAAGTTCAACAATAATTCTTCTGTCGTCACTTAATTTAAAGATAATTTGATATACATAGATCCTTACTTTCCATACAAACAATTATTTTTTATTTCATGGGTGACTTTCATTGGATTTCACAATTAATTTCAATTATTCCAAAATTTATTTCCAAATTATAAAAATTGTTATTGGAAAAAAACATTGGTCACAAAATATCATATAAAAAAAATCATGTAAAAAAAAAAAAATTTAACGGAAAACAATCAGTATTAAAAACTTGGAAATCCAAAATTTCAGGATTGCATGTCCAGGGATCCAGCCCTGAATGTTTTTAATTTCCTCACAGAGTCAGCTTAATTCCAAAATGGTATGATATGTTGGGCTACAGCCTTTAGGAGTAAATTTGAAAAAATGTGTCACACTGACATTCACATTTATTATATAAAAAAACAAACCTTTCATTCATTTTAATTCTAAGATATTGTAGTTAGTCCTGATAAAAATAAAATATAAAAACGAAATATATATATTTTCTCTCTATATACTTCTTTCTCAAGTAACGAGAAGGCAACCCTCAAATAAAAAAAAGGAGGAAGAAGAATAAAAGACTGAACCCAGCTGAAAAACTATGGAAGTTTGTGGGACAAGAGCCTACTAATTTGTGACCAAAACCTGGGAGGCTCCATGCATAACTTCCATTATATAAAAAAGAATGGAATAGAAAGGAACAGCAAAAAATAAAATAATTTTGGTCAATCAAAAAAATTAACACAAAGAGACTTGTGAGGTTAGCTGAAACTGAGATTTGCTCCAATAAGTCTGAATCCCTGTCAAAAGGCATATAAACTGACAACCCCAACACACTGTAGACAGGATGGCAAGAGACAAAACAAGACACTACCGTGAGAGAAAACAGACATGGATGAAATAGTTAAGAGGTCATTTGCTAATTATATTTTCTGTCCTTCTGAGGGCCAGAGACAAACACACAAATAGATCAGTGTCAATCTCCTAAGATCAGTGTCAATCTCCTAATGACTACTACTACTACTAGCATGGTCTGCCTCCGAAACTACTCACTACTGAACAAAAACAGACTTTCTCCAGTCTGCTACCAATATCCACCTTATAAATGAACATCTTGCTACACCGAATATCAAAGAACTGACTGCACTCTAAAGCAAATAAATAAAAATATATTATATACCTTATACCCTTCATCAAGTTGCATTTTATTCCCAAAGTTCCAATAAATAAACACCAAGAATTACCCTCCGGAACACGTAATGACAATATAATAGTGATAGACATTACCACTGCCCTACCAATGAAGAATTTCCAACATTATATTGATTTATTGACTGATTTGTTTTTGTACAGCTTATCAACCCTTTGCCGGTTATTTAAAGCCAGAAAATATTTTTAGATTTTAAGAATTTTTTAGTGGTAAAAATTTTATTAATTAATCCATAGCCGGGGCAGAAGAGGTGGATTCATACCTTTCCCAAGAGTTATGTGCATAAGAAACCCAACAGGAATTGGAACAATTCTAAGAAATTATCTATTACACCACCCACACATCCAAACTTGAAGCACATGATATTCCCAAGCAGTGACTCATTTAGGTACTAACCAGGCTCAATGTTGCTTAACTTTCATGATCATATGGGAACTAGTGCTTTAATGTGATGTGGCTGTAATCCTCCAACATTATAGAAAGATTGCTCAAAAGAACAGATTTTTGCAAAATTTTTACAGCATATTTTGTCATTCAATCCATGTCGTCCTTTAAGAAAGGAAAAAAATTAACCATTTAAGATTGTCATTGGCCAGCAATTAAAAAACAAAAAACAAGCATTAGTGAAAATAACCTCTATGCAATAATAGCATTTTGACCAAAATTCCAATATACACAACTGAGTTTTTACATGTACACTTTTGTAACAAGATTATAATCATGGTGCAGTTCATGGTTGTTTTTTTTTAATGGTTGCAACTTTAAACACTGGATACTTTTGAAAGATTGTCATAAAAAATATTTTCTGAAAGATCTCAAGTTTTCAAATAAATTTTACTGAAGTTTCAAATCCTCTGTGGAGTACCTTCACTACATAGTGTTCCCATGGAGACTCACTCCTCTAAAATTGGTTGGCCTGACAACTTTTCAGCACTTAAAGATTAAAATGCTACCCCACCTTGTGGCACCAATTCTGATATAATCAACACAAATACCAAATAAATTGTGGAAAAAAAAAAAAAAAAAAAGGGTGATAAATATTTATTTAAAACAAAAAAAAAGCACTATTTTTGAAGAAGATACCTGAAGCAACAGAAATGTGGTTCTACAGAAGGATGCTAAGAATGTGACTAACAAGGAAATTTTAAGAAAAATTGAAATAAAATGGATGCTTATACTTAGAATTGGAGAATTGAAACTTCTAGAATATGTAATGAGGAAAGAGGGCTTGGAGAACTTGACATTCAGAAGACATATTGAAGGCAAGAGGGACAGAGGAAATGGCAAATAACCTACATAATGAGTCTGCTGCAAAACAGGGATTGGAAGAGATAACAAAAAGACAAACCTTACTAAGAGCTACAAAAGATAGGAAACTGTGGAGAGACATGATCACCACCATCCTGAAGGGATGCAGCACATAGTTTTGAAGAAAAATGTAATATCTATTTTGGTGAACAAAAAAACCTTTACCATGATATACCTCTTAAAATGAGGACATACAACCAACTTAAATATTTTTTTTTAATTTACTTAAACCAAGAAATAAACACAGACTATAATAGAGCAGAGTTTGGGTGAGTGATGAGTAACTGAACAGAATTGGAAATTTTGGTGGGTGATATAAGATTTTGAATATTAAAAAGGTATTTCAACATATGCTACCTGTTGTAGCATACCTACGGATGATAATGGGTATGTCCCCATTCACATAGATACAGTAGTAAATACTGTGTGTTGGTCTGCAGGTAGAGATTCATTGTGGAATTCACTTCCATCAGTTGACTACTACTTTTATGCAACGCTGGCAAATCTTATATGTGTTGTTCTTGTCCTAAGTATTATCATTCATTACCAACCTTTGTGTGATTATTCTATTCAATAACCTTCCCTAGGTTTCACTACTCCAAAAATTATTCATAGAAATATGCAAAGAACCTGTATAAAAAAAAAAGAAATAACAGGAGGGTAAATGGGAATAAATGGGTCACATTCTGAGATAATATATAAATATCCCAGCAAACAATAAATATTTTGCTATTTTCTATAGTTTTGAGAAGTCATTAACATTCAAATAGTTCTTCAGATGAAATAACATTTTATTTTAGATATAAATCAGATAAGTGCTGATCAAAAATAAAAAAAAAAATTATTTGCTGAATTTTTATTAGTTGCTAAATGAGTAATGGATAGTGGCTCAGATTGAGGAATCAGAGGGTCGAGTTCAAATTCCAGTCGAATCCATTACTTTCCCTTACATGCTAATACCCTTGGGAAAAGTATGAATCCTCTTCTTCTCCCCCACCAGGACAGACCAGGTTCTATAGCCATGGCTGGCAACTGGTCTACCACAGAATGAAATGGCAACCTACTGCGGGAAAAAAATCTGCCTCGTCAGTTATGTATCAAAAGATACATGATCACCTATGTGTGTATCATGCATGGTACATAACTGACTGAATGTATATTCTTTTTATTTTTAATTCATTAATACGATAGTAGCAGCAGCAGCAGTTCCCACATGTCAGCATCACTTGTTATCTCGCTTTGCTATTTTTTTTACTACATTATAAAGTCAGTTTACAAACCAGTAGCAAACTTACCAAACAATTTTGGTATGCTTTTGAATATTCATTATAGAGGTAGGTAATGACACAGAAAAAGGTTGGGAACCCCTGTAAGAGACTGAATTCAATCAAATCAGAGAGAGAGAGAGAAAAATTTCTTACTGGATGCCGAGTTGTGATGTGGTTCCTCCTTTGATATCTCTCGCAGACGGATATAATGAACAAAGTTTGTCTTCTCATTCAGCTCAATGTCTTCTTGGTCAGTCTGAAGCTGCAGAGTCCAACATGACAGTGGACAGAAATTATCTACAAACCTGGATTTTTTGTGGCGTGGCAAATTAACAATGGTCAATTCTGTAGGAAGCTTGGCCTTGTGATTGGGGAGAGAAAAAGATATACAAACCTTAAAACAAATAATCAAATGAAATTATTTCTCTTAAATTTATTGAGATAGCAACTTAAAACATATGTTGTGAATTCCTTTACAATCCTAACTATAGACTTCAAAGAGCTATCTGAAGATATGAAAAGCAGATTAAAAAGATACAGTTTGATTGCAGTTGAGTTTCTTACCTTGCCATTGCCAAGTGGTACACAAATTGTTTGCAGCTCATAAGGAGACTGACTGAAGTTGGTAATGGAAAATCTCTCAGATATAGTAATGATTCTGATTTTGTGCTGGATGGAGGAATTTACAGTAAAGAAGTAAGCCTGGAAAAAGAATGGCAAAAGTAACAAATTAAAATTCATAACAAGGTATGTACCACACATTTGACAATGTGTGAAGAAAGCTTAAGAATAAAGGAGATCAATCAGCTAAGCGACACACATTATATATATATATATATATATATATATATATATATATATATGATAATAGGGATCAAATATGGATTAAGAAACGTTTATGAAGTTAACATGTTTTGCTTTTATTTAAGCCTAATCAGAAAATGAAATTTTGAGAAGAAAAGAAAATTCTGGTATTTTTATGTTTAAGTAACTTATTTTTCATTGGTTAAGTAGACCTCACATTTGTTTGTCTTGTTCAGTGGTGTAGCATTCATGTGTATATGTTTATCATAATTCTAGTTGTCTGTGCGGGAATCATTTCATAATGACCACAAATGTACACAAATTACACAGCTTTCAAAAAATCTCAAAATGAAGTAGTACTTGCCTGTTTATGCATTGACCACATGAGAATAAACGATCCATATTTGTTAAACAACGAAGATTAACCAGTATGTCAAGTATGTGAAACAGCATACACTATTAAACATATACTAACCAAATGTTCAAACTTTGGCCTCTCAAGAAAAAAATGTTATAATTTAAACATGGATGAAATCTTTGAGAAAGTAAAAATGGATGACAAAAATATCATTTCTTAAAATAGTGGGCCTCTATCAAAAAATATAAACCAAATGGAAATGTCAATAAAATCAATTTCCCTACAAGCTGTATAATCTGAAAAGAATACATTAATGAAACCAGACTCTTGACAAAAACCCTTTTTACAAAAATATGTCAATGAAACCTGACTTACAAACGGATACCTTACAAAGAATACGTATTCCATTCATACAAATTTATTGTAAAACTCTTGTCGGCATTAATTAACCTATTGCAGTTGATAGGCCGCAAAATAAAACAAACCAAACTAAAACGATCGACTCCCTGTACCACTCCAGTAAGCATCTGACTCTTAATGCTATCCTCTACCTTTATAAGAGTCAGATCAGGCTGAAAATGGAGTACTGCTCCCATATTTGGGCAGGAGCTACCCAGACCTCACTTTCCAGTTCAAAAGCGTCTCCGAGTCCTTGTTGGAGAATAATTATTTTCCACCCTTCAACTTCTCTCTCACAGGCAGAATGTGGTGAGTCTCTCATTGCTCTATTGCTACTACCATGGAAAGTGCACAGACAAACTACATTTATTGGTTCTGTCAGGTCTAACTTTCACAGCTAGGACTTGCCATGCCCCTTACATAATAGCAAACCATCCACATTTCCTTCATTGGCGAGATATAAGTTCCACTTGAGCAGCTACTTCCCGCAAATCACTGCCTTGTAGAATAGACTCCCAAGAGGATGTTTCCCTGATCACTACAATCTTAACCTGTTCAAGTTTACACTTAATTATTATCTTCCCCTCCTATCCATATAAATTACCCCTTAATGTAATCCTCTATCTCGAGTGGCCCCTGGGCCTTGTACTGTATTAATGTATACATTAAAATACACTTTAATGATTGGTTAATAAGAAGATCCAATATGTGTAATGAAAATGTTAATAGTTATGCTTGTAATCAAGCATTTAGAAATGAATCAGGTTTTACAGGGTCTGATGGGTAAATTGTCGCCAATTACATTTTTAATTTCGTGCATGCTTTTTTTATTTTTTTATTTTGTTGACTACACAGTATAATAGGGTGCACTGTCTGTAAGAAAAAGAGCACCATAATGCAATTCCCTCTGCCAGAAATTTGGAAACAGCATGCTGTACTGCTTGGCATTTGCACAGGAACCTTCAATACAAACATTTTAGCGTGTCCGGGTGTCAATCTGAGGACAGTGCAGAAAATTTGAAAAAGAGTTGGATGAATCCAATGGTGATTATGAAGGTACGGCAGCTCAGAAAATTTATTCTGATCATTCTGATTAGAAAAGAACTCACAAATTTGTTGGTAAGGGCCTCAGACTCAACACAGAAGCCTACATAAAATGCCTTGAGGAGGTAGTGCTGCCCTGGATCAAGAGGGTGGCTGCTGGAAGACTATGTCTGGCAACAGGACTCCACACCATGTCAAAAAGCAGGAGAACCCAGTCATAGCTGCCAGACAATTTCTGCAACCACATCATCCCTTACATCTGGCCACCTAACTCC